GGGGTTGGACTTCAGAGCTGAGCCAAGATAATCACAGTTGATCTGTGTCAGTCCACAGATAACAAGCCTATAATTAGTGAAAGAAAATTAGATCAGACAAATTATACCAATGAACAACTTATGTAGCAGTTTAAAGAGGAAATATCCTTTCAACCTTGTTTGTTCTTCACACAGCTACATCTGTTGGACTGCTGATTTATTTTTAGGCTCTACAGTTTTAGAATGTATACTTAAAAAGGGTTAGTCTGTCCCAGGCACGGGTATACCCTTGCATTTCCATGTCCTCTGTGCTTCTGTCTGTCTATCTGAATCTGTGTCTTGCATTTGGGTCCATCAGTTAACCAAACTTAATAATCTGGCAAATCATGGACCCAGCAGACACAGTTTCCATTAAACTGATTACTGACATCTCCTTCCAGTTCCTGGTTGGTGGTCCAGCTGACACCAGTTCCTGCTGAGCTGTAGCCGTCCAGTCCTACTGGCACTGTGCAGCAGTCATATGCTCCTCCTGTTCCTCAGCAGCAGCTGACTCCAGTGAATGAACTTCAGCAGTCTTCTGTTTCCCTGGCTCAACCAGCCGCTGGTCTCTGGTTCTGTCCTGCTGCTTCGTCACTGGCCTTCATCCTACTGCACCCTTCTGCCCTACCTCCTGGTCGTCCACCAGACCTGCTCCGCCCATTGTGTCTGTGACCGGACCGCCGGCCTGAGGTTTACCATTCCACTCTTCTCCCAAGACACTAGTCCCTTTTTTGTTTTACCAAATTGTCTGCCATCCTGTACCTCTATCTTGTATATTTCTGCACAAGATACAAAGTACAGAAGTTGTGGTACACATATTTGTATTTTTGTCTTTTCTCTGTCGTAAGAATTCCAAATAGATTATTCTAGCCAAAAGCTGTACAGCTGGATAGACCTGACAAAAGACTTACCTCATCAACTAGTAGTCCATAGGTAAACCCAATAGTCCACCAGTCATTGGATGTTTTTGATATTAATTTCATTAGTTATATATATAATATAGAACTGAAGAGCAAAGAGTCTGAACATTTAGTTCACTTATTTCAACACAGTATAAGATCACACAAATCTAAAAACAAGGAATAAATATCTTCACTAAAACAAATACTGGCAGACTTTTCGATTTCGTTGTTCATCTGAGGGAAGCCTCTGCAGGGCATTGAACGTCACATCTTTCAGCCACATTGAAAAGGAGAGGGGCTGTGCAGACTTAGAGTTAAGAAGAATTCTGCAACAGGCCAACAATTTGGAGAAATCTGTGTAAGATTCTGAAGATGAGCACAAGAGGTGGTAGTTCAAACTAGAAAATTCCTAAAGAAATTTTCAGTGTGCCTGACTCTGGCCCCTGACTCTGGCCCATACATTATT